AGAGAGAGAGAGAGAGAGAGAGAGAGAGAGAGAGAGAGAGAGAGACAGACAAAGAGAGAGAAAACAAATCACAAAGTTTTTTTGGGGGGGGCTGTACATAGTAAGGTCCAAGCTGGAGCTATTAAGATTTTGAAGTATATACTGTTTATTTTTGATTGTACACTAATATGTTATGAAGGATAGTGTAAGAAATAGTTACACAAATAAGGTCACCTTATTTGTGATCTTAAAGGTGTGGACTTTGGTGTGAACCAGGAATGGAGAAGAGAACAGGAGACAAGCTCACCCTCCATCAGACTGTTAAGAACTGTCTCTATAGGGCCAAGAGCAGAGACAAAGGAAAAAGCTATTATGACGTCATTTAATGGATCCAAGGTTATTTTTTTCTCGATTTTCGGCCTTACTTTGTATATATAGTGTTTATTTCTTATTTATAGTCAAGTGTTGCATCCCTTGCCATATCCAACACTTGAGTGATAGCCTCTATCATTCTCCTGCTTCGTTACACGTTACTGGCAATCTCCAGGCTTTAAACGTCACAAGTATTTATATTTTGAAATCGTGTTTAACATTCATAACTTGTAAATAGTGAGCTGTGTTTCTCAACGCTTGCATTTATCAGCTATTATACTGAATGGATATTTTTTTCCCTAGTGCAGAAAACTTTCTCAGCATGTATTCAAGCTCATGTTTTGTCTTGTCATCGTGACAAGTGGCAAATCCTCCCGTGAGATCCACTGACAGTCGCTTGTGAAGGAATCAACACATATGCACATTATGTCAACACATAAGTCACTCATTATACCTGATACTGTCACCATCCTCAAGCCTCTCCTGTGGGCTTTTATTTAAAGTCTGAGGTCAGATTCCAGCCTAAGGTGTTACAAAAGCCAGGAAAGGCAAACAAAGAAGGCTGCAAAAGGAAGAATTGAGTTTATCCATAATTAATACAAAGGGGCCAGCATGTAAAAAGATTCATGCTAAGGTCTTTTTGATTAGTTCGGCCACTACAACCCAGCTCCTTGGGAGGATCCTCTCACCACCAGAGGGCTCCAGTCCTGTCTTATATAATGATAGTTTGGCCACAGGCCACTGTGGTAAAAAGACGTTTTGAGGGAAGAGACTGAGAGCAATTCATATTCCTTGTTCTTTTCAGAACGCACGTTACTCTTTCTAAGTGCTGGAGGACGGCCTCATATGCAGCCCTGAAATCATCCCGAAGAAATAAATATTTAGTTATGGGAATTTTTCTGGGAAGCACATCGAGACTTGAGAGACAAATAAAGATGGTTGTTAAATTTCCACGTCATTCGTTAATTTAAGGATAAAACGTGGAGATATTAGCAATGGCAGTAATGACAGAAACCAGGAATTTATACTAAAAAGAGGTCTATATAACTACACAATAGCAATAAAGTATTACTAGAAGGGCCCCAGCGTGCATCCTTTGTGGGAAACTAATGAATACAATTAGGAGTGGGAATTAAATAGGCCGAGAGTGACCTAATGGCAGAGGTAGCTAGAGCAGGGAGGGCTGGGTCAGCCTCACAACTAGAATGTCAGCATATATGGAAGCAGTTGCATCTAGAAGTCAGAAAGAGTGTGTGTAGGGGGTGAGTGTGCTATGTCAGAAGACTGATAAGCTTCTATAGATGACAGTGAAGAATTCAGTGATGAATTCTGGAAATGGGCTTGCCGAAGAAGAGTGAAAGAAGACATCGCCATGTGACAATCCCGAGGCATGAGTAATATTAGCTGACGTTAATACCAACCTCATCCCTCCAGCTTCCCGCAGTATTCACTGTAGAAGTCTGACTGTATGTTACTTAACACTTGAGTGTACGTCCCCAGAACTGATATTTGGAAATGTCAGAATCCCAAATCAGAAAATGAGGCCCTGTTAACCCAGGCTTCAAGTCTATGGGAAGCTACCATTCTAAGCTCACAGAGACAACTAGTTTCTAGGGCACCGAATACCTGTTTGTAGTTGTCTGTCATCTTCATTCTCCTACAGCAGGAGTAGGCCTGATTATTGCTTTTTCTTCTCTTTCTCTTATTTAAAGCTTGATAGATATACACTGTGAATAGTATTTGGCACAGAACTGTGAAGAGAGTTCAGTTAGTAAAGTATTTGCCTTATAAACACCAAGATCTGGGTTTGCTACAAAGTACCCACTTGGGAAAAGTCCAGGCATGATAGAATATGCTTGTAATACCACTGTTGAAAAAGAAGGTAGACGGGTCCCTGGGTGCTCACTGCCCACCAAGCCTAGACTGTTCGGTGAGTTGTAGGACAATAAAAGATCTTGTATCAAAAAAGAAATGGTATCCAGTCCCTGAGGAATGACACCAAGGTTAGCTTGTGATCACCACTCAAGTACATAAATGTCTATCCTCTGTGTACCAGATGCAAGCACAGCATCTGATACACAGCACCACACACATCATCTGATACACAGCACCACACACAGCATCTTATACACAGCACCACACACAGCATCTGATGCACAGCACCACACACAGCATCTGATGTACAGCACCACACACAGCATCTGTTGCACAGCACCACACACAGCATCTGATGCACAGCACCACACACAGCATCTGATGCACAGCACCACACACAGCATCTGATGCACAGCACCACACACAGCATCTGATACACAGCACCACACACAGCATCTGATGCACAGCACCACACACATCATCTGATACACAGCACCACACACAGCATCTGGTGCACAGTATCACACACAGCATCTGATACACAGCACCACACACAGCATCTGATACACACACAGCACCATACACAGCATCTGATATACACACAGCACCACACACAGCATCTGATACACAGTACCACACACAGCATCTGATACACAGCACCACACACAGCATCTGATGCACAGCACCAC